TATATTAATTTAATTAAAATTAAATTATTTCAAAATAATAAATTAATTTTCAAATATTTTTTAAAATTTATCGGTTAAACTAGTCATTCAGTTAGATTTTTAAAAAATCAGTTATTGTTGGACCAAGAATCATAACCAGATATGAGTTATTAAACTTTTGTTTTTTCAAAGACTTTTTGAAATGTAATACTTTTCATGTATTCTAATTTTATTTTCACCTTGTTTTTCATTTCTAAAGTCTGAAAGGACATTCATAAATTGAAACATGAGGGGAAGAGTTCCATTCATGTAAGTACTTGGAAAATAAGAAACAAATAATAGTTTATAAACAAAATATGCAGAACGTTTCCTTTGGATAGAAAAGTGAATTTGAAGGAGGAAAAAAAAAGTGAGAAAGAGAGAGAAAAAATAATTATTTGGATTAAGACAAAAAATATATATTTATTATTATAATAATATACAAAATAGAAAAAATAACAAATATATCTCGATTATATATTTACTTATGGATAATCTTATGTTTCAAAAATTCAACTTTCGTTTTTTTTTCACGCATGAAAGAGGATTATTTTTTTGTATAATTTTAACATAGAAATACGTAAAATCCACGGAGTGTAAGTAACGTATTAAACTGACACGATATCCTTGCCGTGTTTTTTATCTTTACCTATCGTAAGTTGACACAATCCAATAATTCTTCCATGAAATGTTTTTTCGTGTCTTGATGTTTTATTTGATGAACAGATGAAATCTCAAATGTTTGTGGATGAAAACGTGGTCACCAAGCGGCGAAAACTAGAATTTTAAGTTAAAAAATAATAATTAAAAATAGACCATTGGTATAAAAATATAAATAAATTAAATTTAAAATTTATTTAATGATGTGTTTTAAGCTGTCACTTATCTCTGTATGTCATCTAAACAAGTTATATTCAGCATTTCTCAAAAGAATTACCTATTAAAAAAATAAGAAAGTAAGAATTTAATTTAAAACTATTAAAGAGGGTTATAGTTTAATATAACATTAAGGTCAATATAATTTCTCCTTATTTTAAATATATTTTAAGAATATTATATTTACTGTCTTTAATTTAGATAAAAATTCGAATTGGTGGTTCAATAAATTCACATAAATAGGTTTAGAAATTCATCGATTATTTTGAATTTTTATTAATCAAATCAGTATAAAATCGAAAAATTAATAAAATTTACTAAATTTTTATGTAAAATTGATTTTAATAAAAAATAAATAAATAATTTACAAAACAGTTTTTTATAAAAATATAATATTTTGTAATTTATTCTTATCTTTTATCTTTCTGAATTACATCAATCATTCAAAGTTAATTTATAAATAAATTAATTTTAAATATTAGATAAATTATATTTCTTTTATTTTTTTAATATGTGAAAAACCAAATCCTTTGAACATGTATTAACTAAATATTTTCTTTCAGGTTTAGTATAAATGAATAATGCTTCATGTTACTTTCACCAACGATTAGTTAAAGTTTTGTAGTTTATTTTTAATTACACCAGTAAACAAATGTGTCAAGATGTATGACATAATTTTTTTTATTTAAATAAAACAAATACGAAATTAGGTTTGAATGGTATTTTCAAAATTAAAATCCAAATTAACGTAGTCATGATTTGGTTTGAAGAAAATTCGAGTATTTTCTATTTTTTTCTTTAATTCTCGTTATATCATTGTTTAGTTAAGATTTATATAACTGTAAAATGTTTCATCTTATTTTAGTAATATATATATATATATATATATATATATATATAATTTTATATCTTACAAATAGATTATTTAACAATGATTTTCTTTTATTGAATAAATTAAAAAAATTAGTTAAATTTATTATTTAAAAATATTTATAAAATAATAAAAATTCAATAGAATATTCAAATTTAGGTTTTATATAATGGTGAAGAGTATACAAATTTTGAATTCTAATAATATTTAAAAATTAATAGAATTATTAATCAAACTAATTTTCTTGATATACCTCAATAAAATGAAGTTTTAAGAGACAAATTGATATTTATTAAAAGCTATTTGTATTTTAATAATTAATGTACACCGATCGTTCTATAAACTCTAACTTCAATAATATATAATAAATTGAATTTCTTTTAAGATATTATTTAAAAAAAATTATAATTTAAATATTACTTTAATAGTTCATAATTTATATAATCATGTATTTTGGTGTGTTATTTTAATTTATTTTCATAAATATACAAACCATTCTCCTTGTTAGATATAAGTACATACAAAAAAATTAGATATTATCATCTTCCTACCTTTTATATTTATAACAACGAGATATATTTTTCTATTGGAAAACAATATATTTTTCATCTAAATGTGATTTTAGGAAATGAACCAACAAGAAAAAAAAAGGTTTAGATTTTAAAGTATAATATAGATCTAAACGATACAATTTTATATCATCTCCTTTTAGGAGATAAGGAAGAAACTAAAATTGCAATATCACAACAATCTCTTATTGAATATAATATTGAGATGTTATATAAACATCTTATTAAAGATAACATTAAAATCTCACTTAAATCTCAAATCTTGAAGTGTTACATAAATCTCTAAATGGAAATAATATTGGAACACTTCATGAACCTCTTAAGAAGATGATTATCCATAAAATAATTGTAAAATCTTCTAATTATAAGTATTCTTAAATTTACTTATGCACTTAAACTCTCTAATAAATTTAAATATCTTATGAATCATTGTATATCTAATCATAAATTCTCATAAACAAATATAATTTAGTATATTGTCCATAAGAAATTTAACTTTCATCAAAACAATAAGATTAATTAAACCCTTGTTGATTGTTTAATAAAAAAGAAACCAATAGAATATTAATAGATTTACACCATTAAACACAAAAATAAATGACACAGTGAAACTATTTAAAGCAAAACTTATAACAGAAACATATACGTAGAGTTTATTTCATAGAAGCATTTGCTTTTTATAGCAAAAATTAACATTTGATTTTGTAATAAAAATTATCATTACTTAAATATTATTATCTTTGGCAATAAATTTTGATGTACCATTAAACTAGTTTGATGTAAAAGAAGGTGCATTTTTACAAGGAAAACTAATTGAAGAAGTATTCATAGAACTCTTACTAAGTTGCATGATATCTAAAAAACACAATAAAAAAAAATACAAATTGAAAAAAAATATGTGTATGGTTTAAACAATTCTTATGGGCATGATTTCAAAGATTTATAAAATTTAAGAAAATATTTTGATATCATTAAAATAATTTATTTTTTAAAAATAAAAAAGTAAAATAACTACATCTATTATATATGTGAATAATATAATTGTTATAAAAAAGAATATAAGAAAAATCAAACATTAAAAGAGTATTTATCAAAGAAATTTAAAATAAACGATATTATTTAGATATTACACTACCTACATTCCAAGAATGTCTTTTTTTAATAAAATATATCTTAGACTTATTATAGGTTAATTTATCAACGAACGAATTCATCAAAGAGAGGTTGAAAATTATCTATTATTTTAGATAAATCTTAGTTAATAAACCATAAACTTCTAAAGATATTTATTTATTTAATATATTAGATTTTATCTATGTATTAAATATTATCAATTAATTTATACATAATACTAGCAAATAATATTTAATGCATTTTAAAAAAAATTAAAGTCAATATCCAAAAAAAAAATTGTTCATTAAAAAGAAATAGATGAATATATTAATATTGATTAAACTAAATTATTAGAAAATAGATGTTCAATATTAAATTATTTTATATTTATTAGTAATAATTTTATTAGATGAAAAAATATATAATTTATTGGTTAAGTGAAAAAGTTAGATTTAAAAGTTTTATACTTAAAACTTATGAAAGTTTATGAAAGTATATTATCAAAATAAAACTGATTATTACATCAAAAAGTTAGATAGGAAATTTATATAATTATGTATGATTTGTTTCGAAGACTAATTAATTAAAATTTGAATAAAGATGAATTAGAATAAAGTAATTTTAAAATATTTGGTCAAAATGTTCTGGAAGAATGTCAAAATTTACTTTTCTTCTATTTTTCTAATAAAATATCTTTATACGAATTATATTATATAATATTTTGTTAGTATTTATATATAGTAAAATATCTCAATTTCCTAATAACATATTTAAGTATATATATTTACATAATTTAAATTTTTATAATTAGGTTATAAATATTAGAATAAATATATATTTTGTTTTATATTTTTAAAGTTTTTTATTAAATTAAGGTTATATTTAAGTAATTTTCTTCATAAATATTTTAAAAAAATAATTAAAATGAAAATAAGAATTTTTATAAACTTATTTATAACATAAATTAAAATTATGATTTTAGAAAAATCAATACAATTTTTTTACCAATTAATATAAAATAATTCTAGTGTTTTATTTTTTTTTCATAAATTTTATTTAAAAAATTATTCAAAATACTTAAAATTGTATTTTTAGTTCCAATCACTTTTTTTAGATATAAAAATTAAATTATTATTAAAAAAAAAGAACTTGTATTCAATTTCTAATAGTAATTAATAGTTTTTATCTGAAATATTAATTAAAATACAACCTTATTTGATAATAACTTGAAAAAAATGGTTTATATATTGTATGAGTGTTTTTTTAATTTGCGACAAATTTGGAATATAAAGTTGATTTACAAATGCAAAATACAGAAGCGCTGTAACAAAGAGAAAAAGTAGACTAATGGACCAAGCCCGAAAAAACGAGCCCAACTGTTAATGGCCTTGATAATAACGAAGGTAAATCGAGATCTAGCGACATTATCGAAGTTAAAAAAAAATAAAAATGGAGAGAAGTAGGATCTGTTTTTTCGTCCATTTACATTTGTAAACTAACAATTCCAAAGGAAAGAAGAAAGAAACTCAGAGTCTCATTTTTGCTTAGGAGAGATGGCTACTCTATCAAGCTTGGTCGCTACGCCGATGATTCCTAAAACCCACTTTCTCTCAGGTGATTACTTCTAACAGTCGTCATTGCCATTTCCATCCCAAAAGGCACCCCTAAAGTGAACAACTGTTCCCTTTTTTCTTTTAATTTTTGTGTTTCTCAGTTGCACTATCCATTGTTGTCCCTTAGGCTGTATTTGGTTTCTGATCAGTATATCAAGTTTGCAGCTTTTATTTATTTGTGCTTTTGTTTTTGTATTCTCGGATATTCCACAAATCCTGTTTTTTTTTTTTTGGGGGGGGGGGGTGTCAAATAAACATTGTGTGTGACTTTTAAGAGATTCCTCTTCCATTGGGCTTTTTTGGGGTGAAAATGAACATGTGTAAGATGACCGAGTGAACTAAACATGATTATTGTGTATGCATTTCCATTTTCACTTAAACCAACTATGGTATACTGAACATATTTTTCATTTTGAGGTGGTGGATGATACATACATGCTGCCTTCTTGTTTTGTTTTAGAGAAATATATAATTTGGCTCCCAAAGATGCTACTTGTGTGATCAGATTATATGTTTTCTCTTTGTTTTGTTTAGCCTTCTGTAATTGTGTTGAAATAAGTTTGCATGTTAATATAATTTTGGAGCCACATAATCCTGATGCTAGGAGATGCAGTCTTGGGCAAGGCATATACTTTTTTTTTTTTTTTTATCTTTACAGGTTTTAGAGACTTTTATATATCTATATGCGTGTCAAATATATTAATCAAAACATCTTAATGAAAGCATGCTGTTTGACCCTTGCTACTGTAATTATGAAAGGTTACTTTTCAACATGTCCAACAACACCCCTTTTCTAGTGATTTTCCAGAATTCTAATACTCAGATTAATGTCAGGTTCCTCGTTGAAACCGATGGAGAAATGCTTCTTGAAAACCAGCTCTGTTGAACGCTTTCCAGGTTCCTCTTTTAGGGCTAAAACATCACGTGACCAGCCACTTGTTATTCGAGCTAGGTAGGAGGACACAACTTTCTGGTGCATTTTTTTTTTGTGGGGTGGGGATTACATGACTGTTTAGTTTTGGCCTAGAATATGGTTTGGGTACAATGGATGCTATTAATCTCCCGCCATTCTTGTTTCATTTTGTGTTTGTAATTTAATATTGATGTGATGGTCAACTGTATCTTGCATTTAGTTCATTTGCTTGTCTAAAATGTTGGCATAAACATAGTTTTAACTGGTTGGTTTCCCTTTTGAGATTACGTTAACTTTATAGTGTTTCTAATCTCTCTGCTACAACAGTGGTGATGGTGGAAGGTCAAGCAGTGGAAGTATTTTCGTTGGTGGTTTTGTATTGGGAGGACTAATTGTTGGAGCATTGGGTTGTCTTTATGCCCCTCAGGTATGTCCGCAGAACCAACGTTGTCCATTTTTAACACTTTCCTTTTCACATGGCTAGTCAGAAGGTCTCTTTGCTTGTTTGTTTGATTTATTCTCATTACAGGTGTCTCATTACCCATATTGTGGAATATTGTCTGCTTAACTGGAGAAGAAAATACTTTACTTCAGTTTGGTCAAGGTTTATTTTTGCTCAAATCAGATGTGAATCTAGTCGACACATCACTTACACATGAAATCCTGTATTAGTTAATTCCCATAATTTTATTCTTATAAAGTTGCAAGATAATTCCTCCTCATTATTTACTCATGCATCAAATTTCAATATGCATCTATTTATGTCGGCTCTCTTTGGAATCATCAAATCCTTATTGTTTTTCAACAATTGTTGTGTTAGTGTTTCTTTTCACATGCTTGAAAATAAAGAGATGCAAGGATGAATTTACTAGATTTTAAACCTTTTCTATCTGGTTTATGAAGTGCAATTTTTAGATCGCAATGGTTTGATTTGTACAAGTCTTTTTTACCTGAAAGATTGTTTACTGAGTTTAAAAGTCAGAAAAGGGATTATCTGTTGACTTTTATGCTATTAACTTTGCAGATAAGCAGGGCACTAGCTGGAGCTGACCGTAAAGACTTGATGAGGAAACTTCCAAAGTTTATGTATGACGAAGAAAAAGCTTTGGAGGTCAGCAAATTTTCCCACGGTTACTATTTACTTGAAAGTTGAACCATGCTCATTGAGTGTGTCTGAATGTTTGTTCAAGAGGAAGGACTTGAGTTTATATTTAATGTATGAAATTCATTCCCCCCATCTTCACCACAAAAGAAAAAAGAAAAATAACCAAAAATTGGTGCCTAGTATAACCTCACGAGTTTACCCAACAATTGAAATCAATGAATGACCCAATACTTACACACAAGTAAATACTTGTAAAACTATAACATTGACATATAATAAAGCACAATATAATAAGCTATCTTCATTGTTAATATAAATTATTTACATTCATCTATTTGTATTATGCAGGTAGTGAAGGTAAATCCTTATAAATTATGGAATTCATCAGAAATTAAAAATAACTATGAAACCACATCAGGGGAAAAGAGGGGGGTGGGGTTGTATGGCCTTTTGAGCTACAATGTAAGTGCTTCTATAGTGGTTGTGGAGTGAGAAACATCTCTTTGGGGGAAGAAAGTAAGGGCCTGATTGGTTTAGTTTTATTTTAGTTTTTTAAAACAGTTTTAAATATTAATTTTGCCAAACTGTTTCTGAGAGTAAGTTGAGCAAAAAACTTGTTGGATAACTCTAGTTTGAAAACTCTTCTAGAAGAAAGAAGATGACATTGACCACTATGAAAAGTTGCAACGGAGATTGAAAAACGATTTTGGTAAATTTAGTGATGAAGGTAGCCCATCTAGTCTAATTATGGGTAAAAGTGTTAATATCATTATTGAAAATAGAAAACTAAATATAGAAAACACATTTTATCAATATTTTGGGATTTAAAAACTAAAACAAAATCAGTTTTTAGAAATTGTTTTAACAAAATAATTATCAAATAGTTTTTTTATTTTTTAAAAACTAAAAAAATGAAGTGTTTTTAAAAACAGTAAATTAACAAGGTTTAACTCACTCACTTACCTACGAACTCACAAACTTATTATTTGAGTTTGGATTTTGTTTTTGCTTAACAAGAGTGACGTGATATTTCATTATTGATCAGTTGAAAACTTTCTCATATGCATCTATTAACGAAAAATTGCACTTGATCTATTGACTTGCCCTCACATTTTGTCATACATTTTGTGATGAAAGCAGAGGACTCGCAAGGTGCTTACTGAGAAAATAGCGCAGCTGAATTCTGCCATAGATGGTGTTTCTGCACAGTTGAAGCCAAATGAAGATCCAGATGAATTGGCATTGAACTCAGAGGAAATTGAAGCTACCTTATAATATCATTGAACAATATTCAAGCACAAACTATTATCATCTCGTTTTCTTAGCAAGAAAATACTGACTTTGGTGATTTAAGTTTCAGGAGTTAACTTTGCATATCACATAGAACTATTTCATTTTATAATGGATATAGTTAGTGGAAAACTTTGGTTTATTGTGAGAAATAAGAATTTGAAAGTATAAACAGATTGTCGTTGTCAAGATTAAAAACATAAGTTTTGCATAATTAAATTAATGTATGTAATTGTCACGAGTTGATTCAGCAAACGTAGATGGGGCATAAGCCAGATCTTGAATTTACCTTTACGTTCATTTCCTAGAAAAGGTCTCCCCTAGACAGGTTGTATGACGTTGACCAATGGCCATTGATACCAATAATTCATTTGGAGTGCGTCATAATTAGGCATGGCAATTGGGCGGAGTGGGGACGGGTTTTGCCTCCCCGACCCCTGCTCCCTACTTTTTTAATCGTCCCCAGATCCTCACTGGAGTTAAAAATTAAGTCTCCATTTCCGTCTCCGTTGAGTTTCGAGTTTTTCCGTTCCCGTTCTATGGTTTTATTTTAAAAGTAATTATATATAAATTATAATAAAATAATTTAAAATTATTATCTTTTACATTTTATTTTTTATAACAAATAAATATAATATTATAACTTTTAGAATATTATTATTGATTGAGTGAATATTTTAATTTATTACGTTTATATTAAAATATTTTTGCATAAAAAATATATTTGATCATTCTTTTTTTCTTCTTATTATAAGTTGTTAATCCTTTAAAATTATTAATCATTGTAAAAAATATATAATAAAAATAAGTTTCAACTAATGATCCTTTTAAAATAATTATAAAATACATCTAAAAATACTAATAAATAAGTAAAAGAGTTTCACATGGAAAATAATATAAGAAAACTGCATAATAATGCATAACCGTGCATAACAATACATATAAGAAAAATAACAAATATTAGATAATTTAATGATCATCCTCCAAATGAGCAACAATGTCACTGTCCATCAATTCACCTACATAATTTAAAATAAAATATATTATTGAAAAGAGAAATAAAATATTAAAAAATAAATAATAATATTTTTTTAATAAATAAAATAATATCTTCATCACCAGAATCCATCTCATTGAGTAAAATAGCATAGTCATCAATTAGTTGAGAATTCACACCACCTAAAGATAAAATATAAAGAGAATACTTGTTAAAATCTAAAAATACAATCATTAAATATATATTTAAAAAGATATATAAAACATTACCGTTGTTTTCAGCACTCCATAACCAACTCCTAGCATACATCAAAGCTAGGGATGGCAAAACGGGCTAGGCACTGCGGCCGGCCCGTCAGCCCGTCATAATATGGCGGGGCGGGTTGGTGTTTTCGAGCTTACCAGCCGCTTTGGCCCGCCCGCGCAAGCCCGCCAACCCGTCAGGCCAACCCGCGGACGGAACGGGCTAGCCCGCGACCCGCCTAATTAATAAAAAATAATTTTTTATTGTAATAAAATTAATTATAAAGATAATATATAAAGTTAAAAATTTTAAAAAGAGAATTAAAAAAGTTTCATTCTCACAGAAAATATTCTCCTTCCTAAAACATAACATTCTCTTTTGTTCTCCTTGTTTATCCTAAGCACTGATTATTTTTATCCTTATTACTTAAATTAAAGGTGTAAGAATTACTCAACCAAGAATAATATGAAGTTTTATGAAATAAAAAAGATATAAGTATTTGAAATTTTCAATATAAAAAATATAAATTTTATAAGTTTAACGTTATTTATATATATATATATATATATATTTGTTATTATTTATTATTATGTAAATTTTATTATTGTTCTAAATTATAATTTCTTAAAATAATGTATTGATTTATATTATTAAATTGAAATAATATATATATATATATATATATATATTGAATTATTAAAAAACAAATAATCTTATTATTAAATTTATTAAAAAAAATTATTTTAAAAAAATTTATTTTTTTCTAAATTATGGCGGGCCAGCCGCGAGCCACTAACCGCCCCTTGGCGGGGCGGACCAAGGTCTACAGCCCGTCATGACTATATCGGGCCAGCCCGCCCCGCCCCGCTTTTGGCGGGCCAAAGGCAGGGCGGGCCAAAACGGGGCGGGCTGACCCGTTTTGCCATCCTTAATCAAAGCCTCTAGAGTAGTCTAATGAAGTCTACTGCGATGGGGGCTTAATATTTGACTACTAATACTAAATGCAGATTTAGAAGCTACAGTGGAGATAGGGATAACTAATACATCTTTAGCAATTGCTTGAATTGTTGGGTATTTGACTCCATTCAACTTCCACCACATTAGAATATCAAAATCAGTTTTTCTTGGTAAAACCTCTTCTAAATAATGGTCTAACTCTGTTTTAACATATGTATTTCTTGCCCTTTTTTTTCTCAAAATATACCTGTCATACTCAGTTAATGCATCACCAGCAACATTAGTACCATCCCTTGTTGGAGACTCGCCACATGTGCCTTTATTCATTTTTGTTTGATACTCAGAAATCAAGTCATAACATAATTGACGAATCATCCTAACTTGCAAAAAGTATTCATGACCATACAACTTTTCATAATAATATTCAAGTAACTTCATCTTGTATTTATGATCCAAAACAGTAGCGACTCCCATAATAGCATGAATCACATTCCAATACTTATCAAATTTGAACAACATGTTCTCAGACATTTTTTAAATCACTTCATTTGGAGATGCAATCCACTCAGTCGATGTCAATTTAATCTCACATATATTGGGAAAATATAAATTAGCAGTTGGATGTTTAGTAACAGAAAATAATTCTGTTATAAAATTGAACAATTTCAACCTTTCACAAACATCTTTTGCAAACTGCCATTGTAAACTAGTTGGCAAACAAGTATACTGAGAATCTCGTTGCTTCAATCGATTAAACACATCTTCATATATTATGGCAATTTAAGTATTTTGTATGTTGAATTCCATCTTGTTGGACAATCTAAAACCAAGCTCCTAGTACAAGAAATGCGCAATTGCTTTGCTGTTTCTTCAAACTTTTCTTTCCTCTTAGGTGTTACAGACCAATATGCTACACTACCCCGAATTTTTTCAATCTCATCTTTCACTATCTCTAGCCCATCTTTCACTATCAAATTTAATATATGAGCACAACAACGCATGTGAAGTAAATCTCCATCTCTCAATAAAGTATTAATTTGCAATTTACCCTTAATTTTTTCAACCATAGCATCATTTGTAGTACAATTATCAAGGGTGATAGTGGATAATTTTGTATCAATATTCCAATCCATCAAACATTCAACTAATACATTGCAAAGTCTATCACTTGTACGAGGAGTTGGAACATAAATGAACCTAAAATAATAATATTCGCATAAATTTAATCAATATTCAATCATTTTACCATACGAAAATAAAATAAAAATAATATAAAATATGACTAGGAAAGTGATTTGTTACCTTAAAATGTGACTCTGTAAGTTCTAAGAATCATCAATATAATGAGCAATGACAGTCATATATTCTCTTTGTTGATTACCTGAAGTCCACATGTCTGATGTTATAGCCACTCTTCCTTCAAGACTATCCAATGACTTCAAAATTATTGATTTCTCACACTGGTAGACTTTGAATATTTTCTTTTTAATAGTGTTTCTAGAAGGAACTTGAAATACTGGTTGGAGAGCATATGAGTATCTCTTGAAACCAATATGATAAGACTTAAATTGATCATAAAAGATAAAAAAATATAATTATTTAATTAACATAAGATATGATATATGATAAATAAGAATAGTAAACCCATAAAACATGATATAACAAAAACCTAATAAAACCAAATTAGAAATAAAATGATACATTGATGTACATATTTAGAAAAAGATAAATAAACAAAAAATTACCTTATGCGTTCGATAAAATGGTTGAAAATACTAGAGAAGTTGATCAGAGAACTCAAACTAGTAAAGAGATAGGAGAAGCCAAATGTGAGTTGAACTAAGACTAGTTGTGAAGAGATTCAAAAAGACAAAAAAATTAAGAATAAATGGAAGTAAAGTGAAGGAAAGGAACACACTACGTAATGAGAAGATAATGGGTAAGAAGACAAAAAGGTTAATGTTAAAAGACTAAGAGTAATAATGTGAAAAGACTAAGGGTAATATGAAAAGACAGAGGATTATATATCAAGATTTAAATTTAAATATAATTAACATTAAAAAAAACAAACAAACAGACAAAGAGTTAATATTTTAGAATTTAGGTTTAAATATAAAGTCGGGCGGGAACGGGGCGGGGTGGGGATTGCATTACCCATCCCCGCCCCCGAACCCGATTTCTTAAAGCGGGAAAAACCCGAACCCGGTCAACTCGGTTTTCTCCCGTCAACTTCGAGGCGGGGACGGGTCGGTCCCCACGGGACCGGTTTGATTGTCATCCCTAGTCATAATCTTGTATTATTAGAAATATTTGAACCAGATACAATCTTGTCTGCTCGTTGTCATAAACAATGATTGTGATGTGGCCAATTTGCCCCAATTTGTGGATGATAAGTGTCAAATTTGAAATAGATTTTTTGAGTAGATATTAAGTTTAAATATTGTGCAATTAAAGGTGGAATTTTCAAGGTAACATTTTTATTGAGAATTTAAGATGTTTAAATCAATATCAATTAGGTAATAATAATTGGTCATGGTTATTTTTTTGCTAATTAGATTTGTTTTATTAATATTATTAAGGCTATTATTTAGTAGAGTGTTTAAAATCAAATCGAAAATCCAATTTCAAAAAAAATAAAAAATCGATAAAAACAAAATTTGTTAATTTGAAAATTTTAAAAATCAATCTTCCAGTTTCGGTTTTACAGTGCAGGAATTAACAAAACCAAATCAAAATTAATATATATATATATATATATATATATATATATATATTACTAAAATTAAAC